TGCCTGCAAATTCATTGCTTGATAAATCAGCTACTTTCATATGCAGTCCCTGTGTCTGAATGTCTATACTTCCCTTCTGCATTTCTATGTGAAAAGAGCAATAGCCTACCTCTTAATACATGCTGTCATGATGACATACTATAGCTAAACTATATACACTTTTTAAGTTTATTTGTTATTTTAAGGTTACTGTTCACTGTTTAAGGTGAGTCTGATACGTTGGTACTTTTTTCTCTTATACAAGTTAAACAGGGATATTTTTATTGGAATCCAATCACTCAAACCACTTCAGAAGAACACATTCCAAACTGAACTGGATATGCATCTGGTTGATGAAACCACATATAAATGTTACTGCCAAAATGGACAAAAAATTAAAATGTAATAGGCTAATAGTCCTATGGCATATTATAGCTAGATTTGACCAGTTCCTCCTCTGATAAGGTTTTTGATCTTGAAATTAGCTAATGATTGATAAAAATGCAGCTTTCGTTGATGCAAACTCCATTAGATTTGCATATTGCGCGTGAATTGAAGATCGGAACTGTTTAAACCAATCAGATTGCAATACGATTAGTAATAACACACAAATTAACGTGTAAAAAACTAGGTACATCTTTGTAAGGCACTGAATTACTGTTCCATATAAAGTTATAGCCTATGATTTGGCCGAGTGCAAGGCCAGGTTATCAAAGTGGTGCAGATATTCAGACAAACAGCACAGAGATAAAATATAATACAGTTAAATAAACAATGTTGATGCTGAGTAACATTAATTTTAGAAATGATATCGCTGGTTACCTCTGTGCTCCGCCAAAGGAAATGCTAAACCGAAATCGCTGCAGAAGACATTTTGTTTTTATATTAATCTGAATATTTGAATCATATATGAGTGTCACTTTTCGCCACCTATTGGCGCATCATAATAATCAGTGTAATCAGCAGAAATACTCTACAACAAATATAGAGTGACTCAAACACTCAAACATAGACAGTGAAAACAACCAGTGAGATGCATTCATCAGTTCACATTTGAGGACTGGAAACTGTTGTATAAAGTGATTTTAAACTTCTTACAATTTGCATCCTTCATATAATAGGCTACTAATAATTAAAAAGAGTGAGAATATCCATTTGTCTCACAAACTACAATAGAGCAGTGCAGGTATGACATCAATTTGTAGGCCAAAACACGGAGCGAGTTAGCATTTTAGCACTTCAGATTCCATACTTTGAATTTTGAATGGGGGTTTGGTTAAATGGGTGAAAAGTCTGTGGTGAAGACAAGCTCAAGACGCTTTCATGTTTTATTCTATGACAGAAAATACATAAATATTACCCCACACGTGATTTTTTTAAACTGTTATGTCTCTTGGAAAAGGCAGTTCCTAACAGTCCACTTTCACAGCCTCATCATGCATATAATTGTGCTCTCATAAACTATTATATTTCAAACTTTCTGGGAAAATGTTTTAAAATAAAAACTGAAAGAGTTGTCGGAAGCTTAGTAACGGAGACGTTGAAGTCGTGGGACCATGGTGTAGTTAATTAGCTTTTTATTTATGGTGACTGTCTTTGGGTGTCAAAATTCATAAAAGGTGTGTTCATTTGTGAAAATTATCTTGATGGACAAAAGGTGCAAATATCATAAACGTATGTTGATCACAGAGCTTGTTATTTATTTATTTTTTGTGATAATCCAAAAGACTATAGAAAAATCCTATTGTTTTGTTAATGTTGAGGGAACCAGGGGGATGCTGACTTCCGATTTGACTACAAAGACGTCGTAACAAAAAACATCAAAATGTCAACAAAAACCATCTGACAGACTTTTTCCGTTCACTCATATCCACACTTCTTGAATCACTCTAGCTCCTGTTAAATACTTATGTCCTGTGTTAATAGAGTTCAACACAGAGGTAGTCAAGATGAGATCAACAAACCTTTATTTCAATCAAAACTTTATATAACACAGCCTTCTCACTGAATTTTTTAACAGTGTATCCTAAAACTCCAACCTCAAGAGAAGGTCAATAGCCGCGTTTCCACTGCCGGGCCAGTGCCGAGCCGTGCTAGTGCGTGCCAGGGCTAGTCGCGTTTCCACTGTCACTTCCGGGGCTTGATTGGGGCTTACTCGAGGCCAACGGCCAGGATTTCTGGCCCGTCAAATACCTTGGGCCAGAGCGGGCCAGACCAGGCCAGCTCGGGCTAGAGGCGTGCTCAAGGTAAAAGGCGGAGTTTATCGGTGTTATGGAACGTTATGATCTGAAGCAAGATGCACATTTCACTTTTTCACATAAAAAAATAAAAAATAAAAAAAATCGCTGCTTGAAATGGAGAATCGCCTGTAATGGTCTGTCGAGGCTACCACAGCTCTTCTGAGCATTTGGGCAGAAGAAAGGGTACGACGTCAATTTGTACGACGTCATGGCGTGTGAAGAAACGAGGATGTTACAAAATACATCAATGCTGACGTTTCTAAGCTAAACATTCAGCGAGTAGCGCTTTAAGTTCAGGAAAAAATAAAAAAGTTGCGGGCGCAGTATTAAGGCGATTAAAATGCACAATGGACAAAGTGGAGTTTAGAGAAGGATTTTTCCATGACTTGATGGACGGGTGTGCTGGGTCACCGTCCCTCTGTTAGTGGCGACTCGCGAGACAATCGGGACACTGTTGCAGCCACGGCCGGTGAGTTAATATACATGTTATCTTCCTAACTTAAAAAATAAATTAATTCATAATACCCACTGAAATGGGTTGGGTAGTATGACTTTTACCCCTTTTCCACCAAAAAAGAACTGGTTCGGAACTGGTGCGGAGTTGGTTCAACTTGTGAACCCGTTCGGAACCTGTTTGTTTTTCCATTGACTAGAGCGGACAGGGAATGACATCGTTATGTCACATGTGTACGTTGCCATACGACTTAGCTAGAAACGCTTGCAAATACAACATTACTTTGGGATTTTCTCTAACTCGTGTACCATGAAGGCTTTAAAAACAATTGAAATATGTAAGTCTTTTAATCTTTTCATTTGATATGTAAACTTTTCTGATTAGTTATGTACCCCTGTCTTTTGTCTATTTTTCTTTCTATTATTTGTTCTATTTGTTTTCTTCTTTGCTTATAATGTTTTCAATAATAAAAAAAACAAAAAATGTAAACGCTTGCGCCAACTTCAAGCATAACAATTACAAAAGCAGACTCCATCGTGTTTCTGCAAATGTTTCTCCTGGCTTTGCGATCCTTTATTATGGTCAGAAAAAATGTTTGGTTGTCGAAACACAAAGAACTGGTTCGCGCAGGCACTGGCTCCGAACCGGCTCTCAAACTGCTTTGGTGGAAAAGGGGCTTTTGATCCAGAAAGGCATGTTAGGGGCAGGGTTTAGGGCAGCGTTGTGGAGCTACTGGCCCAGCAGTGGAAACGCAAGCCCGGTCCTTGAGGCCCGAGGGCACTGGTTTGTCTCGCTGTTAGCTCTGGCCCAGCCCTAGCCCGGCAGTGGAAATGCAGCTAATGTCCCTTGACGTTTAATAAACAGACAGCACTGCTAATTAACAAGACTGTATTTCACCACTATCTTGTATTTAAAGTCTAAACACACACGGCTTGTTACTCTAACATTTAAATGTAGCATCACAAACTTTGGGAGGTGAAACGCTCATTGTCATAAATTAATGAGCTACTGGTAGATATTGTAGGTCATCTTGAGGCAGAAGACAAGCTTGAAAAACAAGAAGGGGGTGGTTTACAGTCATTGGGGACGCTCAACTAAATGCAGCTTCAGTGGCTTTGACAGTCACCCTTACCCCGAAGGGTGGATGCTGCCATTGTTCCCTAGACCGCTCTGAAGGACATGACTTCAAAATGGCACACTTTCTAGAGTCTTCCATGGCTGCAAGCTCTTGCTTTAGTCTGTCCAGAATGTGACACCTTACTTGAAGATAAAACAATCACCACAAAAGAAGCCTGCCACTTCTATTCTTTTCCCCTCCATTTCTGTTGCATCTAAAACATGCCAGAAGAATCAGAAGGAAAAAAAAAATCAATAACTCCCAGGTCCTTTTTCTCCTTCAAACATTAATGTGTGTGTGCGCGAGTGTGTGTGCTCATCGATTCCACTGAAAGACTTTGACCTGTACAACAAACACAGATATCTTGTGAAACTAAGAAAAAAACTTATGAATGGGTTATAAACAGAAAGAGAATTCCTTAATTCCCATAAGACTTCTCAAAGAAAATACAGGCCTTAACTACACACAATTGTACGGTGCAGTTTAAAGTGAAAGTTAAGTATAAAAGGGACAGTTGATTAAGAGTTATAAATAAATTTCATGTCACATGTAATGCTGAAATTGACATGGAGGGTATAATTTTCATTCATTTATAATTTCCATTTTTTAAATGAGCGATCGTTTCACTTGATAAGACCCTTATTCGTCGTCTGGAATTGTTAAAAAGCCCTTTGAACAGTTTGCAATGGAACGGTCTTTTGGACCTTGAACCGTTTGGTTCCCATTGAAGTCCATTATATGGAGAAAAATTCTGGAATGTTTTCATCAAAAACCTTAATTTCTTTTCGACTGCAGAAAGAATGACAAGGACATCTTGGATGACGGGGGTGAGTAAATTATCAGCAAAGGTTATTTTTAAAAGTGAACTACTCCTTTAACATTCTTCAATTGTTCTCCATCTAATTTCATTCAATGAATTTCTATTGCTATATTAAGGTACTTCAAAGATCTCTTTGCTTTTTTTGCGGTTCATTTATTTCCCCATTTAAAATAAATTTGCCTCACTGCTGGTTTTAGAGAACAAGTTTGGTTAATGCAGGTCAAACTAGCTCCTTAAATCAGTTTAAAGGTTTTCCTTTCACCAACGTTTTGTTTTAAATAACAGGAATACAATTTTAGTCACAAAAGGAACTGCTATACACAAGCAAAAACCAGTAACTTTCTCTTCTATGCTTCCTTTTTTAAATAAAGTACATTACAAAGGATATTTTTGCCATTTGGAACAATAACACTTTATTTCTACAAAATAATTAAGAGACAATAAAGAAAAGAAAGAAAAGAAAAAAAACCGGAGACCTAATGCTTTTTAGAGCTTATTAGTTACAATATTAACCATTAAACTAGAGTGTTTCAAAACGTGAATGGTGTGAACTTTCAAGAAGAAGAAAAAAAAGCATTTTGTCTGTGAACATGTTTGTTCTAAAACATGAGATAGAGTGAACAGAAAAGGTGCTGCTCTTCTTGTGTTATTAAATGTACAAGTGCTTTTGTGTTTGATAAACAAATTAAATCCCCCCAAAAAATGCACAGGTTAAAAATACATTTTTAAAAGCCAACACGTTTTAGCACACATTTAATTCATTTTGCATTTCACTCGCACAACGAAATGAATAAAAATCTCTCAAAGTAAACTTGTAGCAAAATCGAAGCAATAACGGAATAAATAGTTCAACAGTAAAGTGTGTCTGTGCATGTCTGCCATAGAGAAGCCTTCAATACAGGAAGGTGCCAAAGCTGCCCTTGCCATTGAGCTTGAATTGATTTCCCTGAATGGAAATAAACATTTTCTGTGAGAGTAGATTCTCATCAGCCTGCATGGCCCCTAGTGCTTTTATCCGGCTCTTCTGAAGCCCACGATTTTTGGCCGACGAGGCAACCGACTCTTGCTTGATGGCATCATTTCCCTCAGTGAAGTCTGGAGGGATGCATTGGCTATGTTTGATGGCTGGACACACTTCTTCCACCACAATGATAGGCACATCACAATCATCATCATCATCCTCGTCCATATCTGCCTCTGGTTTTACTCCTGTGTTCTCATCATATTCTTCCTCTTTCTCATCTGACAAAACAGAAGAGACAAGCTTCAGAATAGATTTGGTTTTAAATCGCTTTTTGTGAGCATTTATAATCTAATACTTCAAAGAAAATGCGACTCATAACTAGATATAATTGGGGGAAAAAAAGTGTGAAGTATGTTTGGGTTTGAAACAACATGAGTGAGAGTGAATGATAGAATATACATTTTTGGGCAAATTATTCCTTTAATTCCTGACCAGAAAGCAAGCAGCTCAGAATGATACATCAATACACCATGCTCTTATTCAACTTCACAGCGGAGAGCAATATGAATGGTTGTACTCAGACTGAAAATGATAGGGTACAATAAAAGGATGTGTTTGATACATCTACGACTCCTCTAAATGGAGGGGTTTTGCACTAAAACTGAACCCTGCTGTTTCTAGAAAAACAAATGACGCAAGGGACAATTGTAGTGTAATACTAGACAGAGACACTTTAAATTTCCCATATTTTGGAAAAAAAAAAAAAAAGAAAGTGTCTTTGGGAAAGCCAGCTGTTACACTACGAGCAGTGTAAAACTTTTTCTTCACGCATTGCTATAAGAGGCAATCTATATACATACAACTATAACATAACCTACCTTTTCCTTCCAATATGTTTTATATCCATTTCAAGATATATCCATTCCATTTTTTATTTCCATTTAAATCTGTTCGTTCTGAATTCCAACTCTCAAACAAAAACTCGTCGACTGAAACTGAAATAACTGTCTTACATAAAAAGGAGTGCTATATCAACAATGCAGAATAGTCACTATGCCAATGTGTCCATTAGACAAAGGCAGATTGTTAGAGGCAGAAACATAAAGGACACAGAGGGATAAGTAGGGTCTACTTGTATTTTGAAGCAGAGATGCCTTCTGCGAAGCATATTTCAGAAATTAAGCACAGTGCGTTTACAGCTGCCCTTCACTGAAAGTCAAGCGTATTTCCATTCTTTCCTTTTCTGAAAACGAAGCTGGCTGAGAGGGAAAAAAGCCAATCTTGCAGAAGAAAAGTACCATGGGGATGGCAGTCATTACGGACAGGCCTCCCAACAGCCCCAGGGGGCATTTTTAACCAAAATTTTATGCAAGCGAATATATTTTCACAGATATTACCGCAGCAGTAAGTAGAGCACTTTTCACATAGTCTGACTGATTCCTGCGGGTTCCTTCAATGAGCTATATAGGCTTGTGATGTATGCAGGCACACACAGAACATTCACATTAATGGGGAGAGTGGTCGTGGCCTATTTAATTTGTGCCAAAGATGATGAGATGTGTGAAAGCAAAAAAACATCAAGGTTACAGTATTGCCCGATACAAAAAAAAGTTGAAACATTTGTATATATTTCCCAATTAATTACAAGAATTTCAGCTCTGGAGGCTTCAAACAGTAACGATAGAATTGGTTTTGCCGTGTCAATTAAAACCAGAGTCGTCATTCTTTGCTCATGCAAATTGGATTTTCTTTCACAGAGCAGGAATCAGTGTCTTCTCAACATGTCAACAACACAAACCAAACTGCAGCCATGAAGACCATAGTACAACATTATGCTTATTTTTTTTACAAATCTACATGGAGAGCTGTGGGAATGGAGCAAGGCCGGTGGCATGAGTGATAATGAGCGTAATCTGCGCACCACACCGGTCTCAAGTACCACGGAGGAGCTCCGGAAAGATACGAGGAGGAGTGAAAACCGAGCAGGACGAGAGAGGACCATGTCTTGGACATTTATGTTGTGTTTTATTACGTTTATATGCAGTCGTCCATGACGGTCTACCACTTTACTTAATTTTATTGTTTGTTTATTTTTGGATTCAAATCCGTGTTTAACGTTCTCTCGTGCGTTCTATAGGACCGTTCGGAACGAACGTAAAGATTGAACGAACGTTTTGTCCTAATTTTTCCAAAGACGACATAGTGATTGCTATCAGGATATGAGACTTTCAAGAACCAGCATAACAAAAAAAAAAAAAAAATATGCACAGAATCACCTACTGCACCTTTAAAGCTCACTTGAAGGTCTTTGATAGATACCACACACTTATATATATATATATATATATATATATACTACTACAGAAATCAGTACAGAAATTACAGAAATCTATTTTTCATTTAAAAATCATTCAATCAAATCATTCGAAACATAAACATCTACAATTAAGCCTAAATGTAAAATAGCACTATTTGATATAATACCACTATTAAATATAGTTTAATCTTTGTTAAAGCTGTATTTTGTTGTTTTATTAACATTAATGACGCAGACAAAAGTAGGAATATTAGGTCACTTTAAGACCAAATGCACGGACTGAAAAAAAAACCAAACATCTGGTTTCTCAACTGTTCACTTATGACATAACCAAAAGAATATATGCTGAGACCGGTATTTAGATGAGTTTTTTTAACATGGTTTTGTGTGCATGTGTCTGTTCAAGAGCAAGGAAATGCAAAAGAATCAATTTTTGTGTTTGAATGCTATCTGAAACGAGCCCCTCTCTCTGTGCGCGCGTGCTTCAGGTGTGTGCACAGATAACGAGCGAGTCTCGACTTTCGCGAAAATTTTACTTTTTTGCTCCAAGAAAGAAAAGTAACACTACTTTAGAACCAAAAAGGGGGACATTTTCATTTAATGCGTGCAGCAATTTGTCTGCACAAAACCTGGAGCAGATGGTGGTGTTTATACATTTGCAGGTGTTGCAAGGTACTTCAAGATAACCGCTCTTAATGAACTAGCTGGTGTTAATTTGAGAAAATGCCCTGCTTCTGTTGAACTGAGGCGGCAGGAGCAGACAGAAGAAGAGAGAGGCACCTGCGGCATTGGGCTCTGGGGGCAGATCCTCCACAGTAGCGTCACCTGGCTTGACCAAGATAACGCCGTAGCCTTGATTGTTGTGGATCACGTTGTTCACCATGGTGATTTTGGGCATGGCATCCAACTCATCTGCGAAATCCTGCCAACGGGGAAGCAGAGGGTGGTAAACACGCAGCATGCCTACACAAATGAACATGCACACACACACACACTCACATCTCTTTTTGGCCTAAGCAACGTGAGGAAGAATGAAAGACTGAGGTTGGGAAGGTGCAGCGTGTACACAAATGCACAGAAGCTTTAGGAAGGTAGATAAAAATCCAATTATTCCGAGTTAATTACAGGAAAAAAAAAATCCTTTTGGGATGCTGCTACCTGTGTGTGAATCTAATTTGCTCTCAGGTGAAACACTAACTTGAGAAAGCGATCACATACTTAAGCTCATGAAACACTTTTGAAGCTGATCTTCAAAATTTTCCACAAAGATGCGTCTACAACTGCAGGGAGATCACTGGCTTTCTGAGCTTTCCTCTGAACAGTGTGAGCATACTGACCTCTGGTGACACAGCTTAGAGCCATTACCATCAAAGACACCCCATGGCGGCCAGTGAAGTCCCTCTCCACTAACGCATTAAAGGAGCTAACTTCCCTGGAGGTCTTCTAAATGCATTAATCCACTAAGGACATTAATACATTACCAAGACAGCTCTACGGTTCGCCCAGGTAAAATACTTGCTGCTGCCTAGGCAACGATTAGCAGTAACCAGGAGCTAGACGGGCTAATCTATAGGCATTTAGAAGAGCAGAAGCTCATCCATCTTGCTCACCTTAATCAGGATCCCCTCCTTGCAGTGATGGATGCCGTTGCCCACCAGACTGCATACACTCCCAGGGTAGATCTCCACGCCAGCTCCCTGAAGCAAGCGCACAGTGACCATCAGAACAAACGATGACGGTATTAGTAAATGAAGACGAGGGTCTTTAGTGACATGGTTGGTGGTAAATCAGTCAAAGAATGCTGCTGGCGTGATCTTTCAGACCTGCATCTCATACTGTAATAACGACCGTAAAGGATAGATGATGGAGCTATACATTCAAATGGTAATACCCATTTCAAAAGTGAAGAAGTCATTTTATAATTTACGTGAGGTACCGTGTACCTGTGCATCTTACCTTGGAACCGTACAGGTCACACATGTTCATGGAGAGCTGGGCCGCCGATCGCACAATCACACCTGTGGTCTCACACTGCATCACACAATTTTCCATTTCCAGCTTCCCCTGGCGAACACCTGATGAAAGATAAAGGGTGACAAATTGAAAGGACATTGGAGGACGGTGGCAGGAAGAACGGTTTCCAGGCACATATAAAGGTTGAAAATAGTGCTGGGCTATATTAAATGTACGCAATATAAAATTTAACAAAATTGACATCACAATGATTTAAGACGTTAGATGAGATCCATGATCTTGACTTGCGAGTATGAAAGGGTAAAGACAGATTTTTTAAATGGCATCTTTTATTTATACTTTTTATTTATGCTGCAAGAATGGGAAGTTTTATGATAAAATTTTGGTTCAACAAAAAATAAATACAGAAATAAATATCACAGTAAAATATTAAAATTATAAAAAATTTTTTTATTTTAATATATTTTAAAATGTAATTATTACTATGTAATTTAAGACCATATTAATATGTAATTACTATTACGTGAAATAAAAAGTTGAATTTTTTAGTAGAATCATTACTCCAGTCTCAAATGATCCTTTATTATTATTAATGTTAAAAACTGTTGTTTTCTACAAATATATTGTGCAGAAAAAAGCACATTACATATATTTCAGCATTTTTATATTTTGATAAAATAGAAAAGGTCAAAACATCAGCATTTATTTAAATCAGCATTTATAGAACTAGATTTTTATTGCATTTTAGTTCTTGCATTAAAATGTTTAAATCCAATTTGGCAACGATCTATATATATATATATATATATATATATATATATATATATATGAAGAGTTCAGATGCAAAAGCCTCTAAATGCCATTTGAAATTTTCTTCAAGAATGTTAATTTTTATCAAGCTTGTTGTTCAGTAATTTCACTTAAATGGCAATTCATAGGTAATCTTCATTGCCATTTAAGTGAAATTACTGAACAAGCTTGATAAAAATAACATTCTAGAAGAGAATTTCAAATGACACTTAGAGGCTTTTGCATCTGAACTCTTCATATATATATATATATATATATATATATATACACACACACACACACACACACACGCACGTATGAAATATAGTGATACTTTTTTTTAAATCCATCACCCAGTCTTGATAATGCAGGAAATATTGTTTTGGAAACAAGCAGGCCATCTAGTAGATAATAAACATACCTATTTCTCTGACAGGATCAGAAATCCCACAGGAAACAAACCTTTAGTGTAGCTGCACACGGGGATACAGATTTAAAAGCTCCCAAGGCTAAACATGCCAGAATGGCTCACCAATGAAATGACAAGGAAAACATAAGATGGCTTGTCACTGGCCAAATAAATGCACATCAGGTCTCGGGTGGATATACTGCTGCCCATTCAACAGCAGCAGTCCCTCAAGACAAACAGTGGGAAAGAGGAAAAAGGGACAGGCCAAATTTCTTTAAGACTCACACAAGATGCCTTCAATGGCGTCGCGCTGTATGAACTTTAGATTTGAGAGTTTGACGTTTGCCCCCGTTGACTCCACAAAAGAGTCACCCTTGTTACGCTTCTCGATCACCACCTCGTCCGGCAGACCGTATCCTGAGGGAAGACAGGGAGAGAAAATGATTTAGTAAAAAGTGCTTTTAAGTCCAACCTTTAGATATCCGGCAGACACTTATCCGAAGTAAATTATAAAAAACAAAAAAATATGAAAAAAAAAAGCAGCGAGATTGTAATGTTTGTCTCTTTAAATAAAATAACTCCCTTGTTTTAAAACAGGCCAGTGATGGCATATTTTCGACAGTAACAAGAACCTGTTAAAATTGCACACTTTGAATAAAACATTTTCTGAACCTGCATGACAAAAACGCAGAAGGGAAATTGACAGGCCCTTAACCCTGATGGATCACTGTCATTTACCACTATGCCTACCATCCAGCAAAAAACATCTCATTATAGCAAAGCCTCTCCATAAAGGACCTAATTTTCTATGGAAATTAAACCGTCTCTCAGTCTAGACACATGGTTTCCAAGTAACAATGTGCCTAAATGACCATCAGCTATCGTGTTGAGTCTATAGCAGACTGATGACTGAGGGGTCAGCTTAGCACCATCTCAGTTTGAGATAGTGGTGGCAGGTCAGCGAGAGCAGCGGTTCAAAGCCGCAGAGTTTGACAGCCCGGCTTCATTACACACTGCTCTTTGACAGATGGTCCTGAAGCAGGTTTCTTCCAGTTTTCTAACAATGCTCAGATGAACTTCAGCACCCTGGTCAGCTATCACACACTTCCTTCAAATGCCAAAGGCTGAATATAGACCAATAAGGTCACAGCGCCATCCACACTTCTAAGCCTGCAGGTAACAAGAGTGGATTTGGTGGAAGATCTCACCATAATTGACAGCAGTGGGATGCTTTAAATGGGGAAAACACAGAATCACACATCATACTTCCTAGCCTGCTTTACAAAACGCAACACTGTCTGTTGCAGGTCTCAATGGATCTTTTTCACATTTCCAGGATTCTAAGAAGCTAGACATAGTTGGGTATAATTATATAGTGGTAAGAGGAAAAAAAATACCAAGAGATTGATTATGTTGGCAAGAAGAACGAGCCCGTTTCTTTCGGACTGTTGTATTAGATACACTCACTTTAAACTTTTTTTTTCTGTAATTTACTAAATAAAAAAGGTAATAACACAAGTTATAGTGTTATAAATTCACATTAATATTTAAAAAAAAAATGAAAAAGAAAAAAAAACTATTAAAACTATTAAAAAAAACTAAAAAACTATATATTTTTCACACACACACACACACACACATATATATACATATATATATATACAAATAAAATATATAGAAATTTACGCTGTTTACAACTGTAAATGCATCATCACAGTAATCACAGAAAAAAAAAATCTATTAAAAAATCTATTTTTCACATGAAAAAATGCATCATCACAGTCTGTGAAAAAGGTCTTTATACTCTTATAAAACATGCGAAACAATTTACATCTCCTTCAAATAATCTCAGTGATAAAGCCGTAGCCTGAGACGGAGGCACATGTGACATTCTCGCTAAATACCAAAGAGTTATTTTATGGTAATCTGGCAGTGGTCTAATTGAGTTGCTCTTCTCCTGTAGTAGAGCCAGCAGCCGGCTGTGTGTTATCTCCTCTTTCAAGGCTTCCCTGACGCTGTAGGAGGGACTGCCAAGCACACAAAACCTCCACATTTAAACAGGCCTCCAGGCCTCCTTTCCTCTTCCTCATCTGACTTCATCACTATCTGACTTTGCAGGTCATCCATTTGCATAAAGAGACCCGACCCTGACCCTGTGCTCACTTGCCTTCACATTCCTCATGAATTAATTTCCGCCCCTCATCATTGGAAGATGATGGTTATTGTTCCATCAAGCTCAATTACCTCGGAGAGCTTCCTAATATCACGCACCGATTGCAGTGTTCGTTGTATACAGGTCGAGGGAACCATATTGATAAACAAGGCATGGTGCCAGACTACTGTCTTACTGTTATGAAGCATGCTGTTTCACAAAGCTTTATTAAAGGGAAAAGAATAGCACAAAAAAACACAGGTGATTTGGATACTTTTTTTGCATCCACCTCCAACTAAACCTCAAAGTACTAACTTCCAATCAATTTGGATGGTAAAGGTAAATGTCTCTGCATCAATGCAACTAAAACTGACCAAACCATTGATTTAGCCGTCACTAATGTCATTACATTTTAAAGTGATGGATCATATACATTCAAAATTGCTTGAAATTTGACATAAGTCTTAAGAATTACTTGAGCTTTCTTTCTTTTTTTATCATTTTGGAGCTTGATTTTCATTAAATTGATTTTCAAATTAACCCCTATTAGTTAACCATGAAATTTGCCAAAAATCAACACTATGAAAAAAGAAACATGTAAAACTGAAAACGTCTATTGTGGCTTCTTAGATGATCAGAGAAGTCTTGCACACATCACCAGAGAAGTCTGTAGTTTTCACCAGAAGGTTCAGTTATGACATTTTGATAAAACATTACTAGGTCAAAAACATTTTTAACATTAACGTTTCAAAAAGATCTATAACATGGAGAGTCATGCGATTACCTTCAACCTCGATAGAGTCTACGAGACTGATGGAGCTGGTGATGATGTAAAGGCCTGGGCATATGATGACCACATCGCCCTCATAGCACGCATTGACCGCAAGCACCGGGTCACTGTGAAACTGGGATCAAAACACACACCACATTAGTCAAAATCTTCTTTATCCTGAAGAAAAAAGCAATGAAAACTGAATTTCAATTTACACAGAGTAAAAGCTGTCTGACACACACACTTAAGTGGGGTTGAACAGAGGCATGCGAGCACACACACATCTACACCATTTTAACAAGTTCTTGAGGGACAAACTGGCTCACAGAACAAGAGAGATCAAACATGAGCTAGTACATGAACACTGCGCACTACTCGAGCAGAAGATGGAGAAGCGAGCACATGTACGATTTTCCTCAAGTAGGGGCACAAATTACTCACTGAGACCTAGCAGGCATAAAATTATACCTACCACAAGTGAAATCAAGGATTCATTTTTTTTTGTTTTTTTAAGAGCTCTGAGGTGGCCAGAGCGCTCTCACCCAGATATTAACCTTTAGGAGGTAAACCCAAGAAATTAAAAGACAGTGATCAGAGGCGATGGGAGACAGGGGCATTAATATCAGCATTTGTGCAGGATTTGCTCTCAACCTCCCTTGTCTGAAACTACTTTATTTAAAACGACCAGACCATCCCCCATCAGGATTCAGCTCTTTGAATAGGAGAAGTGACCTTTTCCAATTCAAATACCATATTTCCCACCCAAATGCCCTGTCATGGCTTAAAACAAGAGCTTCTCCCATTCTTTCACAGTCCAGATGTCATAAAATCCTCCTAAAATCCCCATTTACAAAGCCAGTACAGTTGAAAACAATACCCTTATCCTGAAAAGCTGAGCACTACATGGTCTTCTGACCAGCACGACAACTGCGCCGTTAAAAAGAGAAAGGGTTATACACACCTGCACTTCAAACTCTTCACTCGAATACTGGGGCATCAGTTTGTCAGTTATCAAGCTTTGAAGCTGGTGAACTGTGGCCGAGGCAGATACCAAGTGGACCACATGGCCACCGGCAGGACGTGGCCCCTTCGCCCTGCATGACTGCTGACCCGAGTTCACCTTGTAACCCAGAACATACCTGCAATAGATAAGCAGGTGGTGTGGGTAGGCAAACCAAAGAACTAACAGGCACACATGCTCAAACACATCTGTTCAGATTAACACGTCTTTGATCCCAGTGGATCTGAAATCTGGTAACAAGGAAAGACTGATGATTAATTATGGAGCAGCGCGTATTGATCCAGAGGTTTGGAAAACGTAAAGAAGTCAATACTTCAAAAACCATGAATGCCTGACAGCAATATTAATCACATTTCTACTCATTATGTTTCTCTCCTGATTAACTTGGGGGTTGAAGAAAAAAATGTGGGCAAAAACATACATGACACCTCTCAATCTCAAACACACACAGCAGAAATAATAACCTGAGCAGTGGGTTTTCAATAATACGCAGCTTGCGCTTAAGTGCTTCCAGCTGCTCGTACATGCGCAGCCCTTCCACCATTGACACGTTGTCTTGTTCAGAATCGGAGTCACTGTTCAGGTCACTTCTCAGGCTGGAGAACTCCTGAAACTTCACAGAGCAGAGCGCCAGCACCGAGTGATACTCAGCGACAAGACCAGCTGGAACACGATCCTCCAAGATATCATAGTAACTGTGGAAAATACATGAAGGGACAGATGGGGGGTAAATGTGAGAGACAGAAAACCATAATCTTACTAAAGGTGATGACTAATTTCTGCATTGCAAGAGGCACCATAAAGAATTACATTCAAACTTAAGAAGTTCAGTAAAATAAGTCACATGTGTGCCATTAGACTCATTTAATTTGTCTGACATCTTCTCCACTATTGTTTATGCCAATGCGAGTTTAAAACTTGATCTCAAAGGTTGACTTCTAAAAGGAAAATATGTTTGCAGCAGTTCAGATATACAGCTGAGGGTTTGGTAACATAGAGATTTATAAACAAATTAAAGGATTTTAAAATCAATCCTGAAATTAATGGGCAGCCAATGAAGGGACCTCAGAATTGGGGTGATATGGGTGCTTTTACAGCTATTAAAAGGAATCTTAAAGCAGCATTTTGCACTAATTGAAGATGGGCAATTTGAGACTTTGAACACAGGGTGTTATGGTGTTGTCTTATAATGAACTGTTCATTATTGAGTACACACTGCCACCTGGTGGTCACAGCTCTTTTATAACTAAAGCAGTGCTTGGGATACTACTAAACTGTGTTTGTTCATGCTTAAGGGGAAGAGACAGGACACACAAAGGACACTTACAGCCTAAGACGAGGCTCCACACACCGAACAAAGTAATCAAAGTCATCATCCTCATCCTCCTCATCCCACTTCCTCCAGATATGCTTATAGAAAAACCTGTGGGGATTAGACAGAAATGTGCAAGAGTGAATGATGGGAGGGGAGGGGGAGAGAGACCGTGTGGGGGTAGATGTGACTAACAATGACAGGAAAACCTGCTTATCCAGTCAGTTTGGTATAACAAAAGGATCCTCATCAGATTCACAAACCAAACTCGTATACAACTGGGTCAATATTTGGATGGATGCACAAAATAAAGCAGAGTTGAATATCAAATGGCACATTCCATTAAATATTTAAACGTCCATTTCGCCTGCAGTACCTCACCCACTCATGGTCACTAAACCACACATGTTTGGAATTATAAGATGGATAATTAACATTAAGAACAGTGCTGCTGGGTAGAAACTAATTACATGTAATCTGGATTACGTAATCAGATTCCAAAAATTAAGTACTTGTTATTAGATTATAAGACATTTTAAAATACTTGTAATCAGACTAGTTACTTTTCTACTGATTAGATGTTATTCTCACAATGACAATAAATTATTCATGATTCTTTGTTCTATTTTAAAATTTCCTTTATAAAAAAGCCTACCGTTTAAAACTAAGACCGACACAGCATTTGATAATAGATTTACAGAAATCATTTCACGTTTAAGAAGTTTTTTCTCAAAGTTGCATATCTAATCAACTCCTGACACACTAATTATTATTTGAATTATCACTCAGTGAGCCATTTAACCATGCATTAGTGTCTTTGGAAGGCATTAAAATTCAAATTCATATAATTTCATATTTGCATGTCATTTACATCCAACTTTTTTTGTCAGCTGAACCTCTTTGACCGTATATATTTACTTGAAGTAAGACCTTAGATTTCAAGTTAATAAGTTAGGTCAATAACAGAATTAAAACTGCAGTCGGCAGTTTTTCCTCTTTGTCGCCATCTCTGTTTGAAAACTGCAATTCGTGGAATTATTAACTTTACATGAGTTGTATCTCAGCACAGCGCAGATGAATCCAATGTTTTGAGGAGAATGTACAGCTGTCAGTCACCGCATTGGTGTGGATACTGTCATTAAGAATCACATATTCTACTTTTTGGAAATATGACAAACATAAGAATTTTCACCCAAAAATGTAATCTGAACAAGTCACATCCACTGATTAAATCCAACGATTGTTTTTCATATCACGTCAAACCGTGCAAATTAGATTTTGTTCTCAAATCACATCATCATTGCGTGATTACATTTAAAGCCCTTCAGATACTTATCCTTGTTTTCGCATGGGTCTGGTTGCAGTCTCTTTTCCCAAATTATCAGTTCAAAGTCTTTATTATTTTACAACAGGTGAACCTCCAGTCTCCAGTTATCATTGATGATTGTCGTTTGAACCTTTCTGGAGCCGCCCTCTAATTAATGCGTTTAATTATATCAATTAGATGTGTGAGAAAAGGCTATAAATCTCCACCTCCAACATCCTCACAGGCAATATAGCCTACTAGCCGAGACAACTTCTTTATGTGTACGTAATGATGCAAAGACATGCTCGAATCTCCTGTGGAAATCCACCAGTACCAGCTTACCATTTTGAATCGAGCTAAGGCAAGCAGAGAGTTTTGAACACTGGCTGGTTATGTACTTACTCAAATTTATTTTGGATAATTTTTAACCCCCAAAAAAGTTACGGACTGGAGCTTTAAGTCAACATTAAAAAATAATAAAAAATGATAATAAAATAAAAGTTCATGGTTCTCTTGTGTTGGCTAAAGGGATAGTTCACCCCAAAAATGAAAAATCCATAATTTACTGACCCTCAAGTTGTTCTAAACCTGAATAAATTTCTTTGTTTGTTTTGGCTGGATACAAAATAAGATATTTTATAACCAGGCCACTTTGGGGCACCATTGACTTCCATAGCAGGGAGAAAAATAAATAAATTATACAGATTTGGAACAACACAAAGGTGATTAAACGGGGGTGGTGAGGGCGCAATGGATAAGACACATGCCGTTGGTGTGAGAAACCTGGGTTCGAATCCACTGAGAGACACGAGTGTGTCCCTGAGCAAGACACTTAACCCCTAGTTGCTTGCAACCTCCAACATAGATAGCAATTGTAGGTCGCTTTGTATAAAAGCGTCAGCTAAATTAATAAATGTAAATGATAACATAATTTTAATTTTTGGGTGAACTGTCCCTTTAATGGTCACATGACATTGAGTTTATTTTTCCCAAATTTTCAGTATTCACATTCAAGCACAAGCAGATGCGAAAGAACACAATACAGTACTCGCAAGCTGTTTTGTGTTTTCACGCATGCACTCATTCTCACATGGGGAATGTGGGTGGTAAAAACATGCAAAAACACAGCACAGGCCCAATCGGGCAGTCTTTATTGAAGATCTCTGAAAAGGAAAATAAAAAATAAAAAAAAAAACACTACTTTTAAAGGTTTAACTAACCTGAGGTGTTCCAGGGCCAGAGCAGTCTGATCAAAGTCCCCAGACTCATTGTAGACAACCAAGAGCTCCAGAAGAGGTACTTTATGAAGTGTAGCTTCCAGCAGGGACTTCATGGACTCTTCAGTAAGATCACAGCTTCTGGTCTCACACTCCATTGGTAGCACCAGCTCCACCTTTGCCTTTAGCTCCTTACAATCAACGTCCACAACCTACAACAAAAATCCTTTAAACATCCTTTTGCGTGTGAATGCTTCAATCAAAAGCATTGACCTTTTTGTTTCTTGACAGTAAATACCCAAAAAGCACTTGCCACCATATGCATCAATGAACTTACTTCAACCAGCACGTCAAACACGTCAGTGTGCCATATGGCCTGCCAATCACATGGCTCCACTATCTTCTCCAGGTACTCAGAGGTGAAGGCTTTTACTTCAGACGTTTTACAGTCACCTGTCAAACATTTCAGGTTTTTAAATACATTTATTGAATCGTGTATTGTTGTGGATGGCTTCAAAAGTGTTTGAATTGTTACCAAGCATGTAATCTTGATATGCTTTGAATCTCTCATAGTACAAAAGATGATCTGTCTGGAAGGTGTCCGGCAGTTTTTCATGTCCTGGCCTCTCTGCTCGCCTTAAATGAGTATAGGGTCTTTCATCACAACTCAGATAATGGGTGCCGCTGTCGTCGTCGTCATCATCATCATCTTCTTTTGTCTGAAATAACTCTGAAAACATCAGCATTGGCAGTTCAGTAATTTGCTCTAAAGACCCACACAACCAAATGTATTTTGGCCTAACGTTATGTGACTTCAAAAAAAAAAAGTCAAAGTCAAACGTGTGACATTCAATTAACTTTTTAGGAGTGTGTGAATGGCATGCTAACTTGACATAAATGGAGGAGTTGACGTTAAATGCAAATTACAACAAACCACACAGTCATATAGCATGTAAACATCACAAACCTTTAGAAACTCGATTATGTTTTGGTGTGATCTCAGTACAAAGAGTCTCTGTGTCTCTTTCCGTCTCTTGGTTGACATTATGATCATGATCGTTTTCTGGATTTTCGCTGGTCAGTTTGATGATGATTTCCACGCTGTTTTCGGTCTCAGCGTCTCTCATCTCCTCCGGCTTCGAACACGCAAGCTCTTCTGACATCACTAAAGCTTAAAACTATAATCTAGCTACAAAAAATATGAATAAAATGTATTTTGTTAAGTAGGTAAGCAGCCAACTGACGGTCGATCTCTACCCTTCACTTGTATTTTCAAAAATGACCGGGGCTGAGCAAAGAGCCCAATAAACTCACCGGGCGGGGCAAGCCGAAACATTCTTAAAGGGACAGTGCACAGTTAAAACCTCTTAAAGTCACCATGATATTAAAATTGACAACACTTGTTTTTTTTTTATGGAATATTGCATGGAATATTGCTTCTTCTTTTTTTTCAATTTGTGCCACTGTAATGTTTATGATTAACATAAAGTGTGGTTAACACAACTTATTAATCACAACTAGGCTGAGGACCACTTGGTGGAAAAAGACATACTAAATAAATACTTATAAATATACATGTATTTGTACACTACATAATACAATTATAATATAGCATTATAATATAGCGGACCAGTGAAACATAGCTTCTTAATGTTCTCTGCAGTTTATTTATTTATTTATTTATTTTAGTTACTATTCTTGATTAAATTAAATATTCATAAATAATCTTTTATAACCCTTACAAATAAATCGAGAAATAAATCATAATTTTCACAGTGTTATTATTGTTATTTCGGACTGTAATTCTGTGGTGAATGATGCCGCGCTCGATTTATTCGGTCTGAATCGGTGATCATCAGCTCGTCTGTCCTGTCTGTCTGTCACATGTGTTTTCAAGCCGCAGCATTTTTTGATCCTGTTTGTTGATACTGTGCTTTGATGGAACGTAAGTTTTATGTTGGTATTATATTGATCAAGATCCTATTTATCTTATATTTTAATGCATTATGTTGTTACCATCTTGGATCCTGATTCTGTGTTAAATATACATGATACGATTAAGGTAATCTACCAACGAAAGGAAGGACAAGCGTAATGTATCCTATATTTTATCTTTTTTTCACGTTCACAGATGTGGTGCAATCCTCGATCCCAGCAAAGGAAAGCGCTCTTTTGGGAGTTGAGGTGACTTCACTGTCATTACCATTAATTTAATGGGGTGTCTCTGGGTGGGCTGAGGATGAGCTCTCTGGAAATGTAAAAGTTGAAAATCATGAAACGGTTCATTGTTGCAGATGGGCTTACACTGGGTATGATGTACGAAAACTTTACAAACTAGTCAATAAGATTCTGAATGTCACTTTGTTTTCACAGTCTTCAACCACAACGAAAGCGGAGGCTTTCACCAAAGCATTCCTGAAAAATAGCCTTCCCCAAATGAAAGATGCAGCCATTGAGGAAATGATGTTGCGCAAGGCGGTAGTGCTGGAATATAAAAGACCGAAAAAGAAGGGAAAGAAAAGCAAGGCCAAGGGACTGAATGCCAAAGAAAGAAGACAGCTGAAAATATTTCAGCTCAAACCTGAACATCAAAAGTAATAGAAGTTTCATTAAGTTTACTCTTTTAACTTATTGTATCTTGCTTTACATTGTATCAGTAAAACTTCAGCTTATCACTAAAATCATATGTATTTGTTTATGGATATCATTGTAGATATGAACTCTTCTTGCCTCTGCATGAGCTATGGAAACAGTACATTGAGGATCTGTGCAATGGATTGAAACCAGAAAGGTCATACTTTTAGGAAGATGCTCTTCAGAATTTCTGCCTTATGGGTATAATTTCTCTTTGTGTCTTGCTAACGCTCCATGAATGTGCTGCCTGTTTCTTTTGAACACAGCAACCCACAGATGATCCAACAGAAGCTCTTGAAAGCTGATTTCCACGGTGCTGTCTTAACAGGTACGACGTCATGCATATTTGAAAACATTTTCCCACAAAGGAACACATTTTTTGTTTAGTGGCATATATCCAGATTTCTGATTTATTGTTGATATTTTGAGCATAAAGTGGAACCTTATTCTCTCTCTCTCTCATTTTTTTTCCCATAGTTGTCAGATCAAAGTGCCCTTCGTATGTGGGTCTAACTGGCATCCTGGTACAGGAAATGAAGCACATCTTCAAAATCATTACAAAAGAGGACAAACTAAAAGGTATATGTGTAAATATAAACTATAGGTTTCACAGCATTTCATGAATATGAGTGAGTGTGTCAAAGATGGCAAGCTTCTGTCCACTAGATAAAGGAAGGAAGAGCCTTTTAGTTAAAAAAAAGTCAAATATGAAAAATTAGCAGCTATTTTTTTTTCTCCTGTGCCTGTATGCAGTGTGGTAATCAAGATATAAATAATAACATTATGTAACATTATAACATTATGTAAATGCTAAATAACATTATGTAAATGCTATGCTCATCAATTGTCAAAGTCTTTTGTCTTGCATCCAGCTGTTGGGCTATTTTATCATTGTCCAGATTGTGTGGCACAGTATACCGGTACTGACAATTACTGTAGTAATTTTCCGTAAACTTTTGGATATCGCATTGAAAAATGCTATATGGGAACACTAAAATTCACTTAAATTACAAGAATGTACATAAAAAATGTATTAAGGTGATACTTTTACATGCACACGAACAATGATAGAAACACATTTAAAGAGTAAATCCTTCAACGCCCAACAAAGAACTCGTGTGACTTTGCCTCAACAGAGGTTGTGATTGCACAGCTGGAATAAGCTGCAGACCAATTTCATTATACTGCATCTCAAATGTTGGTTTAGTTATTCTGAAATGTAGAATATCTATCATCAAAATGGTTTTTAATGCCCACCCAGAACTGTCTCTCACATTTTCATTTCCAAACACTAGGTATGTAAACACAAGATAATGCGACTAGAGATGCAACGATTACAATTTTCTTGGCCGATTCCGATTTTCATTGAGTTTGACCTGCCACTACCGATTTTACCCGATTCTGATTTTATTTTTCTAACCACCTTTTTATTTTCAATAACACAAATATTTATTTTCTACATTTTTATATAAAAAAAACATATACTTAAACTCTATAATAAAAACAAGTTTAAATGGGTTAAATTCTTTTCTGACATAACTCCAGTTCTTGTTAAACACGACATGCAAATTCGTTGCATTTTTGGACACTTTTAAATCTTTGATCGGCTAATGAATGGGTAAAAGTGACCAGCCGGATATAAAATAATGCAAATAGATGGTAACAATTGTGCCATAAAACATTTGGTTCAGGTCTGCGTGTGTTTTTGTCACATTGTTTAAACCGCTTGACTGAAGTAATGTTATGAAGTATAATGAGTCCTCACAGCCTCGACGGCAAACTACTGTTCTTTCTCTACTGATGCAGCATCAACAAATGAATTACTTTATAATGAAATGGCAATATGTACTTTAGCGTTATTTATTCATACCGTTTCGCTGTGGTGTTTTTTAAAATGCGCTTCTGAAGTGCAGATTAATCGAGCACCTATCCTGACGTAATTGTGACACAAAATCCTAAATGAAAAGCCTAATGTTTTGTGATATTTTTAAATATTAAACGCAAGTCAGTAATATTTTTTTCATCCATGTTTATCTCCGAAGTCACAAACAGCGCATTCTAGGAATGACACGAAATAAATCTATCATGGGTCACTACGAATGATAAATAAAAACAGTTGCGTCCGTTACTGTAGACCTTTATTTTTGTGTGTTACTGCATAGACGCACGCCAGTAGGTGTCAGTATGAGTGAGTGAAACACTGGCCAGCACAAGATTCTCATCTGTGGCTGGTATGGTGGGGTGGTGGTAAAATGACGTCGAGAAAAAAAAAAGAAGCTTATCAACCAGCTTACGTTTGTATGTTTTTTGTACAGTTACGTTTTTTTCTCTTTCCTACACTCATGTTTAGAGTGATTCATTAGCTAAAAAGAGAAAACACTAAATAGTATGTACGTATTTCTCTGGTAGCATCATTAGTTTGTTTACAATATTTCTGTAGATATTGCTATAATATTGCAATTGTGAATTATGTTGGCCACGATAATAGTGTTGTGAAAATCTGATGATAAGATTCCAGATTGAAGTCAAATCTTCTTACTGTGTCATGAAAGCACTTCTCACTTTTTCCTCACGACAGCCATTAGCCACTTCTCAGAACCCTCTTTTCCTAAAGAACCTGAGAACAAAGTCTGTCAACAGTCTGTGTAAAAAGATCTGTTGCAGCCATTTTGTTTGACAGTTGCTTAACCGAGGCCACTTTAACCGTTCAAATAGTGTTGATTTATTAATAATAGAAATATGCTCTGGATTACTGACATTTTTCCCTCCTCTCTCTTTCTCTCTGTCTCTACAGTAATACCGAAGAGGAACAGTGTGTTCAGTGTGGAGATTGGTGATTTCGTAACTCACATCTATGGCAGCAAGTTTGAACTGCGCTCCAGTGAGCGGTCAGCAAAGAAATTCAAAGTAAAAGGAACTATTGACTTGTAATGGAAAGTCTAAAACATTGTGCAATCTTAAATGTGAGCTGATACTGGAGCCTGGGACACGCTCCATCTCTCTATCTCTCTCTCAACTGCCACTCCCTTTTATTATATAAAACTCTTTGCTTATGACCAAATTTAGTCGACAAAATTGTAAAATGTCCCATTACTTCTGTAATAACATGGAATAACAATAGATCCACGAGTATGTTTAATTTAAGGTATTTCAGTAAGTACTAAAATGTTGAAGTTGTGTAAAATGAGCAAAGTATTTTTAGTTGAATGAGCAGGATCTCCAGTTTAAAGTGTATACTGAGAGGAATTGGTATGATTTTAAGTTATTTGGTTCTGTTTCAGTGGTGTATATTTTGTAGTATTTGCCCGATAACAAAACAAGGAACTTGTTTTTTTTTTCCCCTCAAAACAAAACCTGATTCTTGGATACTAGGTCATGTTGTTGTTCCTTTGTAAGTGACTTGTCAATGCCTCTTCTGGTAATGCCTGGGAATCTCCACATTCCTAGACAGAACTGGTTTTGCAAATAAGTACATAAGAGTGTTTTACTAACTGTATTGGCCTAAGAGGAAAATTAGATTATTTGGCATTTGGTGCTTATAATATATTTTAGCAACAGGTTTGAGTAAAAGGAAGCTGTAACATTGACTGCTTCTGTACCAAAGAACGACAACGATGTCACCATCCATTGCAAATACACATGAATTCTTTTCAGCGTTCTGATGTGCAATGTCCTTTATGAGAAAAGAGGTTCTTTACACTTAATTTCTTCTCTGTGGTCAATGTGTAATTAAATAGGCTGTGCACTTCCTTTAAACCACATTTTAGGTTTTTACAAGAAATAATATGTAGCCTATTAATTGTCACATATACAATTTCAGGTTTTATGTATTAAATGGCTGTGCCGTGCTTCTACACTGTGTGCAAAATTATTAGGCAAGTTGTATTTTTGAGGATTAATTTTATTATTGAACAAATAATGTGCTCTCAGTCAATCCAAAACGTTAATAAACCCTCAATCCTGAATATTTAAGAAAGCAAAAGTGAGGTTTTGGCTTTCTTAGGAGAATATCTGTGTGCACAATTATTAGGCAACTCTTAGTGTGCAGAATTATTATGCAGCAAAATGAAAATGTTCCCTTCTCACTTTTTTTTAAAATAAACAACAGTTTATTTTAATCTGTTAAAGTGAGAATTACAGAAACAAACAACTCAGTTTACAAATAAACATTTCTAACATTAAAAAAAAAGATCAGTGACCAATATAGCCACCCTTCTTTTCAATAACAGTTACAAGCCTTCCATTCATGGAGTCTGCCAGTTTCTTGATCTGTTGATGATCAACTTTTTGTGCAGCAGCCACCACAGCCTCCCATAGACTGTTCAGAGAGGTGTACGGTTTTCCTTCACCGTAAATCTCCCGTTTAAGAAGGGCCCACAAGTTCTCAATAGGGTTTAAATCAGGTGACGAAGGGGGCCATGTCATAATTCTTTCATCTTTAAGGCCTTTACTGGCTAGCCACGCAGTGGAGTACTTTGATGCATGCGATGGAGCATTGTCCTGCATAAAAATCATGGACTTCTTGAAAGATGCAGACTTTTTCTTGTACCACTGCTTGAAGAAAGTATCTTCTAAAAACTGGCAGTAGGTTTGGGAGTTTATTTTGAGTCCATTTTCAACCCGAAAAGGTCCAACTAGCTCATCTTTAATAATACCAGCCCATACCATTACCCCACCTCCACCTTGCTGTCGCCTGAGTCGAAGTGGAGCTCTGTGCCCATCCATCTGGTCCGTCTAGAGTCACTCTCATCTCATCAGTCCATAAAACCTTTGAAAAATCTGTCTTCAGATATTTCCTGGCCCAGTCTTGACGTTTCAACTTATGTTTCTTGTTCAGTGGAGGTTGGATTGCAGCCTTCCTTACCTTGGCCATGTCTCTGAGCACTGACCACCTTGTACTTCTGGGCACTCCAGGTAGGTTGCAGTTCTGAAATATGATCGCACTGGAGGATAATGGGTTCCTGGTCACTTCACGTTTGATTCTTCTCAAATCTTTGGAAGTTAATTTGCGTTTTTTTTTTCTCAACACGTTTCTTGCGACTCTGTTGAGGTTTTGCTACAAAACGTTTGATGGTTCTGTGATCACGCCCCAATATCTTAGCAATTTCTAGAGTACTGCATCCCTCTGAAAGACTTTTTACAATTTTTGACTTTTCTAAGTCAGTTAAAACCCTTTTTTGGCCCATTTTGCCTGAGGAAAAGAAGCTGCCTAATAATTATGCACACCTGATATAGGGTGTTTTTTCTCATTAGGCCACACCCTCCCTCATTACACAAAAACACATCACCTGAAATGCTTAAATCCAATAAGCATTCAAGTTTATACAGCTTGGAGTTGGAAAAAATGCATAAACATGATGATATGGTCAAAATACACACTTGCCTAATAATTCTGCACACAGTGTATAACTAGGCCTGTTCTTTGCAGTCACTGCATATTTTTCTGTAATAAAAAAAAAAATGAAGTTAGACTAGCTTTGCCACCCGGTTGTCGTTTTGGTGCTTTTGCTTAATGAACTAGATCAGGAGTTCCCTGCTATCTGAGCCTATACAGTTAATCAGGTGAACAAATGTTTTTCTCTTAGTAATATCCTCTTCGCATACAGTGGTCGAAATGTTTTTTTTTTTTTTTTTTTTTTTTGTTATATGTTGTAAACCTGTAAAACCCACTACACTATATTAATTGTTTACAAATTTGTATAAAAGTTTTCTTAGTGTGCATGGTTTGTTTTTGCGCAACAGAAGGACAGTGGTGTGGAATTTAGATGAAACAGCTGGGCCATAAACACACGGGTACTTTTATTTAGATTTTTAATCTTTTTAATACATAGATCTGCTTCTATATCTACAAGTATACCTATGGCAGCCTCTTGTAGAATATTTATATTTTCTTAGTTTTTGTGTTTGTTTGACTTGTAGTTGAGTTTCATGTCATTATTGTTCTGTAAATACTACGGGACTTTTTACTACATCATGCACTGCACCTAACTTTAACTTTTGATATTCTCCTCTCATTTGCCAATTTCCTTCTATTCAAACAAATTTTTTCCCCCGTTTTAACTGTTTAAGTGCAAAAGCCTCAGTTATATATTATTTTCCTGTGACAGGATGTGAGGAACATTCTGTTTTGTTTGTTTGTTTTTTTTTGCTATGAAATGTCATTATTGACTATTCTAGGACATGAGTTATGCATCAGTGTTATTTTAATACTTCAAATTCCTGTTTGCTTCTCAGATGTGTAGGTTTTTTTTAGCTGCCCTTTGAATATTTTTGATAATATGTTTGACAGAAACTTTCCTCAAGTCTTTGACCGAGCTCTTTTGCATTAAATAACTCACAAATCTTTTCAAAATTCATCATCTCTATTCAGTTTTTGCAAGATATTAGTTGTTTTAATGCCTTTTGCAAGACATTGCGCTATTTCATGCTTTTCTTTTTCAGAAAATCCCCCCCCCCCCAAATTGCATTAGAACTCTGACTTGCTTAATATTGAACAACCCCTTTCCATAAGCCATGCCAAAATATTTATATAACATGTCTGAGATTAAGACCAAATATCTAAAAAGATAAATAAAATAAAATCGGAGTGTTTATTGTGCTAAAACTTTACTGATATGTCACTTGCATAATAATTTGGGACAGTGTGAGTTCATCAACAATATCATTTTTTTTTTCAATCACATCCACTGTGAAGTGGATTATCATAAATGTTTTATTATATTTGATGAACATGAGGTCTATAAAATGTCATGACTATATATATATATATATATATATATATATATATATATTTGTGTGTGTGTGTGTGTGTGTGTGTAACTGTCTGGTTCCCTTTCGTCATTCCGCTTGAGTATCATCTTTCGTAGTGAGAGCAACTAATCAGTGAAATGCCCTACCAGAGGACATAAAAGGGTGTAAAGCGCATGGTCTTTTTAAACTGAAGCTAAAATCTTTTTTAAAATTGAACCAATTATGTAACCATTGAGATTGTTGTAGTTAAATTGATTTGTTGACTGATTGATTTATTTATTTGTTGTTTTATGGACTTGACAGTATGTGTGCATCTATTGTATGTGAACATTGGTATTGTTTGTGTAATGTTTTGTTAGCTTTGTCTTGTCTGGGGGACTACGGATGAAAAATAGCCTCTGGCTAAATCCGGTACAATACATGAAATGGTAATTTTATGTTAAAAATTGTGCATGGTCCCTTCATAAATAAATAAAGAAAGAAATATATATATACAGACACTTTACACTCAGCAGGAATCTAGTGACTTGAATCTGACATGTCATCCGCATGAAACATTTTATTTTGTGCTAAAATGTCTTGTCTGATTTCTTTCCAGTCAGTAACAAGGAATGTAACACTTCTAAAATAGTAGCAGTTCTGAGCAGTTCTGGAATTTCCCCCCTTTCAACCAGGAAATACAAGCTTATGACACTCTATAAAAGGTGTCTCAACCAACCTGAAAAGAGAAAGAAGTGATTTGTAGTGCTGCACACAGAGGAGTCGTTTCATAAAGTTTTTTTGGAACGAGGGAACTGCGAACAGATACAAAGTCTGTTTACCCAACAATTCATTGCTTTCCACACCAATCAGGTATTTGGTAGTTCCTTGGTGAATTATTTTTTAAGATGTTCAAACATTTATTTTGTGATTATATTGTATAATTTAATTTATTAGCGTAATCAGAGGTGAAATCTTGTTGATTAGAAAGTACTAAAAACAGTACATTGAAATAGATTTGACTTTGTCAATACTTTGACATTTTACAGGCAGCGACAATGGAAGATCTGGCCTTTGCTATTCAGAACCGTGAGCGAATCAGGGCTGTGGCGAGCTCTTTTGGCTGCGCTGGGAAGGTGCTTTTAAAACCCGGGCGTATTCTTGTGGGAGAGGGCTGCTTGTTGAAGCTGTGCAGGCGTGGACCCAAACCCAAAGTGTTCTTCCTCTTCAACGACATCTTGGTCTATGGTAACGTCATGGTGCCTGGTCGCTGGAACAATAAGAAAAGGGTCGTTCCTTTGGAGGAGGTGCAGCAGGAAGATCTGGAAGACGGAATGGCCATGCCCAACCAATGGCTCATCCGCATGCCACACAAGTCTTTCTATGTTTCGGCAGCCTCACCTGAGGAAAAAATTGCATGGATGGAGCACATTGAGAAGTGCAAGACCCTCTGCATGCAAACTAAGGGCCTTCCCACTGACACAGATGCAGAGAAGTTTGCTACCACCTGGATCCCTGACAAGGCTTCAGCCATCTGCATGCGCTGCACAAAGAACTTTAACGTCACCACTCGGAGGCACCACTGCCGGAAATGCGGCTATATAGTATGTCAAGCTTGCTCGAAGAACCGGGCCTTGCTACCAAACATCTCCTCCAAGCCCGTGAGAGTTTGCCGGAACTGTGCGAACAGCTCACAAGAGGGAAAGGTGCTGGGACAGAAGAGAAAAAAGGTAAAGCACTGGAAGAAAAACTCTGTCGAGGAATCACCAAGGGTACCTGAGTTCGAGACGTCTAGCGATGAGGATCTTGAATATGAGAACGGGTACCAGGTGCACACCAAGTGGTTCAATTATCAGTTTGACAAGGAGGATTGCTCCCCATACTGCTACATAAAGCCCGGGCACATGAATCCTCCCCTCAATGGACTCTGAATGTCATGTGAGCTACTATTGTGAACTATGCTCTGCACAGAGACAAATACCAGCAGTTATTAAGTATTTTGCACTAAAATATGAGTCACTTCTATGATTATGTTTTGCACTTCTATTTAGTATTTGTATGTATATTTGAATATAATATACTCTATAGCATATGTATAAAGGGAACTGTGACTTTTGCAATAAATATAATAAAAAAAGCATTATTTAATAAATATTGTGGTACTGTATTAATTGGTGGGAAACATACACACACCAGTTTTTTTTGTAAATGTCTGTTTATAAACAGAAGAACTACATTCTGATGTTCTAACAGTGTGGATCATATTAAATTAAATGTTTTCAATAGAAGCGCCCTCACTGAAGACTTCTTACTGCAGACCTATAACGTTAAGGGTGGAATAAATGGTGTTATCAGAGTGGACAGGGACTTAGCATATTGCTTCTCTGATGGGTATAATTGCAATAAACGTAAAAACAGGGACATGATTTCGGTATTATAGTGTAGGTCTCATGACTGTACCTTCTAATGGACCCTTTTCACAGATGCATTTCCCAAATAACTAACTATGTGTAGTTAATTTAAATTACTTAAATGCATAATTATACTGTAACAAGGACACCCTTTACCTACAAAGTAAACCTTTTACTTAAATATGTGAAGAGTTCAGATGCAAAAGCCTCTAAATGCCATTTGAAATTTTCTTCTTTAATGATGATTTTTATCAAACTTGTATATTTAAGTTCAGTAATTTCACTTAAATAACAATTAATAGGTAATTATCATTGCCATTTAAGTGAAATCACTGAACTTAAATATACAAGTTTGATAAAAATCATCATTAAAGAAGAAAATTTCAAATGGCACTTAGACTAGAGGCTTTTGCATCTGAACTCTTCATGTGATGTTTTATAAGTTTGCCAAGGAGCATAATTTTCAATGCAAAGAACCATTTTAACATAAAAGGGTTCTTCAGGAGTCCTAAATATAAGTTTTATATGAGCAAAGAAGCTCTACAGAACCATCTATTTTTATAGTGCTAACAATTGATTAATAGAACAAGTCAAAGTGTGTGGATTACAAAACAAAAACAGCCATCTTGTTTAGGCAATTACTCTGAAAGTGATCAGAGATTGCATAATTTCACCAGACAGCTAAATAGTCATAGCTGAGTGGTGATGTGCACATACAAGCTGAGCTCATTTACTGCTCTCATAAGAACTGTGGTGGGAGGAAGAGAAACATTATAAAAAACACATTTTTTTTCTTTTGCATAATCTCCATCACAGACTTTTTGGCACACAGTGAGGTGTACAGTAACCAACAAAACCAGTGTATCAGGTGAGATCAGCTTTCACACACATCCCTGTTGTTTACCATCATTGGACATATAAAATGGAAGAGTTTGTTAACAAATTTGTTAAAATGCAGATCAGAGACTCATTATCAAAAATGTTTAAAGAAAAGTTGTGTCTAACTAAGCTCAATTTCTTTGCATTACAAACAAGACACTATAATGTCTTCAGTAGAGCTGCTTAGCTGAATTGAACTCAGTTCGTAATTGATGAACTTTACAGTCAACACTGAACTGACTTTTCAGAGATGCTTTACATCAGAATTTAATTATTTGCATCACTGGTCATTACTTTCCTGTTTATCAC